AGGTTCACATAAACCCCAGTGGTATCATATTTAGCTTGGCTATTGGAAAACTCACTTACTCTCTCTGCAAATACCACAGCTTTTATATATCTAACTTCCCTAATTTTTAATATTGCTGTTATGCTACATGGATATTTCTTGTCATAGTTGTTATTCTTCTAAACATAGATGGCTAATCCTTCTGTATGCTGCTGAGATTTTAATATGCAGGTTCTTAGTAGATGCTGCTTGCGTCTCATCATTCAGATGTTGTACCTATGGGGCATTACCATGTGATTTACAGGGGATAAATGAAAGCAAGAAGCTCAGCTCTAGGCTGTGATAAAGGAACCTACAAGAGTAAGTTCTAGGGCATAGCTTGTAACTAACCCCTACTACCAGTACAAGCTGGGGGATGAAAGGATTGAGCACAGCCCTGCCAAAAAGGACCTGGGGCAGATGGCAAGCTGGACAAGAGTCAGCAGGGTGCCCTCACAGCCCAGATAGCCAACCGGATCCTGGGCTGCACCAAAAGAAGCACAGTGTGAGGGAGGTGATCCTGCCCCTCTGCTCTGGCTGGTGAGACCTCACCTGGAGTACTGTGTCCACATGTAGAGTCCCTCAGGAGAGACATGGACCTGTTGGAGTGCATCCGGAGGAGGACCACAAAAATGATCCAAAGGATGTAATACCTCCCCTACAAGGATGGGCTGAGAGAGCTGGGGCTATTCAGAACAGAGAAGAGAAGGCTCCAGGGAGATCTGATAAACCAGTAGCTTTTTCAACTGCAGAATGCCTGATTTCCCACCTCACTGTTTTATAGATCCCTACTCTGTCGCTTCACCATGAACATGAAGAGACCCTAGTGATTAGCAGCTCTGTAAAGAGCTCAACTCTGAAGAACATGCATACAAAATCAATAGTAAGGGGCAATATTGTATTAAGTTGATAAAAGCGGGCCCTTCTGGTTCCATTTCTAAGGCTCTCGCTTTCCAGTTCATCAACTGCCTGTCATATCTCAACAGCAGGATTCTGCCCTCATTCATGCCATCTTAAACTGAGAGCTGTGTAGATATGTAATTCATGACAGCTGTGTTCAACCGCTTCATTCATTGAGATTCTTCTCACATTTTACTACATAAAACCTCCTGAATAAATGTGGAAAGAAAAAAGTCTCATCCAAATTAGATGTCCAGACAGGAAAATCTTCCAGATGGGACCATTATCGGTATTTGTCGGTTTTCTTGCTCAATTAGCTTGGCAGTGAAATTTATGAAAGAAAATTTACTTATGCAGTCACAGAATATGCATCAATTCCTGGATGTCACCACATCAATTAAAAAGCTGTTATTGCCAGTGTAACCTGATGTAAAAGATGTAACTTGTCATACCTCTTCCTATTTTAAAGCTGCAAAGCTACTGTTGCACACATACAGTTTGTAATGCAGCCATCTAGAGGACATTTTTACTCATGCTGTTAAATAGAAATCACAAGAGGTAGGAAAATACAATCTTTACTGACCCTTAGTGGCCAGAACTGCTACAGTACTGTGGGTATTATTTAGTGAATTCAACAGCTGTACTGTTCTGATGCTGTTATGAAGGTGTTATATTCTGGGGAGAAAGTATTAACTAACCCAGGAAGGGTTAACAGGGAAGTACTGTCAACAGAGAAGAGGATCCAGGTGTCACAGAGAAGAATGTACCCAATCTACTGTAAGAATTTAGTCTTACAATAATTCAGTGGTTAAAGTGCAATATCTTGCATCTAGTGGCTATCAAAAATTGAAAATGAAAAATGAAGATGAGTCTCTCTTTGGTAACAACAGTGAAAGAAAAAGTGAAGGCATAAGGCAAAAGGATTCTGGAATACAATGTGTTTTTGACCAAGAGAAATGGGATTCCTGGAAACATCAAGAGGCATTTTTTTGTTATGGATAGATATTATTTCTAGTCTGGAGAAGAGGAGGCTCAGGGAAGGCCTTATAACTCTCTACAACTACCTGAAGGGAGGTTGGGCATGATGGGGGTTGATCTCTTCTATTATGTTACTCTCCAAAAGCATGTTTAGGTGCTGGAATGGACTGCCCAGGGAGGTGGTGGAGTCACTGTCCCTGAAGGTATTCAAGAAATGTTTAGATGTTGTACTAAGGGATGTGGTTTAGTGGGGGAAATACTGGTGATAGGTAGGTGGTTGTTCTGGATGACCCAATCTTGATGATTCTATGATTCTGTGACTTAACACATTGTACTAGTGAGACTTCCTCTGGAATATTAGGCAGAAGCCTGGCTTTCAGGTATCAGGAAGCATGGATCTGAAGACGAGAAGAAGGCCACAGAGAACTGAAATCCTGTTTTTTAAGAGCAACTTGAAAACCTAGCAATATGACATCCAAAAGGATATGAAATGTTCCCCCCTAGAAACACACTACAGATGTAAACAAAAGAGTGCGATAAGAGTCATGTGGTGCAAAAATGGATGGATATAAAGTGACAAAATATTTTAGGCAATTTTATAAGTAAACGTGGTACAAGATTCATTGACTATGTTTAAGGTACAAGGAGAAGGGAAATCCCCTCCAGCTGCTAAAATGCAGGCTGGTTCTGTGATGTGGTTGCCAGCACCAGCACTCTCAACCTCATCTTCCTGTCTTGGTGTGTTTCTCAGACCTGTTCCTTTCTATAGTTATCACCATTACTGTAAAAACAGAAATGACCCGTATCACCTCATCAGTGTTTCTCTCACTCTAGTGGAGGGAAAAAGTACCTGTAAAGGCTGTTATAGACATCCTTTTGCAAAATGGTCTAATTTTGGATTAATACAGTCCTTCATTTATAGTTTGCAGTTAATTTACCTGACATCTCCTGGAACAATTTTTCAGAGACGTGTTGAAGAAAATTTCTTAATTTTCAGTCTTCCTTACAGCATTTTATTTTTTTTTTTTTCCACCACCATCTCTGTGGTTTGTCCCGGCTCATATTAAATACTGAAAACAGTATCCTCTTTCTAAGGCTCTTTTACACAAGTAATATTCTTTGGTGATCCATCAGTCATATGATTATGGCACCTGCAGTCAGATCATGAGAGGTGCTACAGAAACACAGACGAGAAAGCCAACTTATTACACAAATGGTTCATGCTTTATAAATAAGGATAATGGAAAGGTGAAAGACATCGTGCGAGAGCTCTCAAGGAGCTATTTTGGCCACGTTGTGCCGGCACTGCACATCCGTAAGGCCACGTTGGCCAGGTGCAAACTGCAGCGTGACCGGGACGCAAGGTCAGGCCCAGCCCAAGCACCAACTCCGTGCTGAGTTGAGTTTACGCTCGCAGATGGCATTCATTAGAGAGAACGCCGCTCCCCGTCCTGCAAACAGCGCCTCTCGCTACAGCCGGGAGCCCGCGGACCTGCAACACCTCACCCGGCCCAGCCGGGGCCGCCAGCAGCCGGGGCGGGGCCGCAACGCCGGAGCCGGAAGCGCGGGGAGCACGGCGGGGGCCGCTTCGCCGCTGCGGGAGGGCTGCGGCGCCGCCCGGCGGTCGGGAGCGGGCGCGCAGTGCCGGCGCTGCCCCGTTCTGCCCTTCCCCGCGCCGCGGGCTGAGGGGCGGCCGCTCCCGGCCTCGGCGAGCCCTCGGCAGGTAGGGGCCGCGGGCTGCCCGCCTCCCGGCGCGGTCGGGCCCCGTTGGGGCGTCCACAGCGGTTCCGGGAGCTCCGGGCCAGGATGGCGGCGGTGTCGCTGCGGGCGGTGCCGAGCGCTGCCCGGCTGTGGCCGCGGCTGCCCCTCGCGTCCGGGCTGCGGAGCCCCGGTGCCCCTCGTTGCCGTGTCTCGCGGGGCCGGGAGGCTTCTCACGTAGTCGTGTGTGAACGGGGCACTACATGTGGTGTGCACGTTGTTGCAGTGCGCATCTCGGGTGCGGCTGAGATGCCGCATTCCAAATGCCCATCTTTTTGTCGGTGGGAGGTGTGTTGTGTGTCTTAATGTGAAAAGCCAGCTGGCCCACTTCTTTACGAAATAAATGTGTGTTGGCTGCCTGTGCGCGTGCAGTAATGTGTGCACCACTGTTTCTTGCTTTTCACACTAGCCTTAGCTGGTGCGTGCCCCAGTTCTGTGTATTTGGAGCTGAAACTCCAATGTTTAGTTACATGCAGAGCCAGAAGTGCTTATCCCCTACTACTGCACGGAGAAGTGATGTTTCGGAGTTGTTCTTGGAGACACACTACATACCTAAACATGAGTGTTTGTAACACGGCCCTGGCCCACAGAGCAGAGCCCTGAGAGGGTGCTGCTGTTCTGGAGATGCATATGAGGGCTCCAACATCACAAAGCGACTGCAGGACAATCTGTTTTCCAGTAACTTTATTTAGTATTGTGAAGGTTTTTAATGCTGAGCTGCATTGTACCATTTAGTGATGGTTGGCATGATAGTGATGGATGGACTAGGTGATCTGAGTAGGCTTTTCCAACTTCAATGATGCTGTTTCTGCTTTGTTTTCCTTGCCTTTTCCAGGGACCAGCTAGAGAGGTGCAGTCAGTATGAAGAGCAGCAGAGCAGCTCCCAGACCAGTGATGCTGCCAGCATGGGAAATGTGTGCCTACCTGTTCCTTACCATTGGCTCTCACTTCTATTCTTTCTATGAAGTGTACCAGGTTTCTCAAAGTAAGTCTGTGATGCTGATGCACTCACTTTTGTAGCGTTCCTAGCCTGTGGCTGAGCTGGATTTGTCTGCTGCCTTAGTTTCTTCGTCACTCCTCTGTGAAACCTGTTAAAAGGAGATGGAGGTGAATGGGCCCCCTCACGGCAGGAGTCCAGGAGCTGGGTGATACTGACTCCTAAGGCATCTTCACTGTACACCTTTTATTAGTCACCTTCACGTCCCATTCTTTTTTTGCCGCTAGAGGGAGATATCAAACAGTCCTAAAAGATAAGAAATTGTGGTGGTTATAGGTCCCATGTGTTAAATGGCTCAAGCTCAGCTCTCTGTTATATCTATTTAAAGTTAAAAAAAATTTTCAGCCTGGAGGTGGGGAAGCTTGGGGGAAGTTTATGCAGAAACATATGAATACCTGATGGGCAGGGGTGAGGGAAGAAGGAAAAAAAAATTCTTTATGTAGTGCATCTTTCAGGGTTAATTGCCCCTGTTGTAGTGCACACCTGTGCCCAGTGGTCAAGGCTACTCTGCATTCATCATTGGAAGGTTCAGGATGCACACAGGCCAAAGCCCAGGATCTGGCTATGGAAAGGTCCCTTGTGCCTGCTGGGAAAGAGGAAAAATTGTAAGCTTCACATCTGCTGAATTCCTTGCACGCAGACATCTCCCCTTCCCCAGCTCCAAGTGTCCACAGCTGTAAAGAAGATGAGGAGAATTTGTTTTTATTTAGAAGCAGAGTGCCTCATTGCAGGATTGTTGCTTTTCTTAGAATGATGCAATTAATGAAGATTTATTCATCTTTGCAGAATACAAAGATGAAATTGACAGAAGCTTTGGACTGGAACAAGGGACTCTGTTCTGGGGACTTAAGAAGGTAGGAATAATGAGTGTTACAGCACTTCAGATTTTGTTGATTCTCTGCAAGGACAGAAGCTTGCCATTCCTTGAAGTCCTCCTGCAGCAAGCTGTTGTGTCAAGCAGTGTTTTGCTGAGAAGCAGTGAACAAATTACTGTGCTTTTCCTCCTACTGGTCTTTTCCTTTCCTGTAATGGTGCTTTGTAAGGAGACTTTGGTTTTAACTGTTTTAATGTCATCCCTGTTTTTTTTTACTCTATTCTCTTTCTCTACAGCCAGACTGCCATAGACACCAGAGCCCAAAGCTCTACAAAGATATGAAGAACAAGAGGAAAGCTTTGGCACTGTATATTATTATTATTTAATGTTCAAAAACCCAGACAAGTGCTTTCCGCATGAGGCAGTCTGCAGTACTTAATCCTTTTCTAATGCATGTTTCACTCTGTGTGGGATCAAGCAGGTTTAAGTTTTTGCTGAGGGGAATGGATTAGCTTTTAACGTAGGCACTGTTTCTTGTTTCCAGTGCATCTTCCTTTGTGTTCTAGTCTAATCTGAACTACTTCTCAATAGCATGGAAACAATGCTAACCAAAAAGCTACAAAAATGCCCTTTGCTCACCCAAGATACTGTTTTAGTTTCAGAAGCCCATAATAACTTTTCAGATTTTCATACTCATCATTAGGTGGCTTTGTGATTTTATTTTTTTTTTCATTTTTCTTGTGGTTGGTCTGAATGTTTCTCATTAGTAATGTCATTTAATAAGCTTCTGTGTGGCTGTTTGGCCTTCAAAGGTTTAATCTCCTTTTACATTTCCTGCAGCCTTTTTTTCCCTTTGTTCATGTCATTTGGTATTTGGGTATTGCTTATAACATCAGTGAACACTAGTGGCACTCGTGATTGAGCTGTAATTCAGCATAGAAGAGATTTTGAAACATGAATGTTTGAAGAAACATGCTTTTATTTTTTAAGACAAACCAAAACCCAAATAACACACCTGACTTCCTTCTGAAGAAAATTCTTCATGCAACTCATTTTGAAGGTCATTTAATCAAAACCAAGAACACACGTCTGTGTTTAGGCCCACCATCACCACTTGTATGGGCCCCTTTCTGTGTCCTTTCAAGAAAATCACAGATGTTCTGGAGATGCAAAGCATGTAAGATAATGAATTTAGTCCCAGACATGCAGATGATTGTGCGTGTTTAGAAGTCCTAACTTTTAGCAGGGAACAGGGATTGCCAGCTGATCCCTTTTATCTCATTTAGAATGACATTTGCATCTAACTGCGTTTCAGTCTGACCTGACTCCACCTGGTTGCAATTAGGCTTTATTGAAATAGTGAGTTAAACTCCTCTTAGAGCAAGGTATTGTTTCATCCAAACTGTGTGTTTTCCAAACCAGTGCAGGATTGTTCCCCTTATCCCTAGAAAAAAGTAAGTCAGAGCTTTGTTTCTTTTTCACCTTTTATCACCTGAGAGAGTATCTATTACCCTCCCTTACTTCTGCTGATAGAAATAGTAATTGGCACTCCTCTGATATCCATGCTATCCAGATTTGGCTGGTGGATCAGTATAGCTGTGTATGATTGCCTATGCTTGTAACCAGGCATGGTTTCCTTGGTACTCGTGCTACTTGTTTTTGCTTGGCAGCTGCTTTGCCTTATTTACCTTTCTGTGAAATGAGACCATCTTAAAAGCAGCTATGAGGGGTACGTAGACCACGTGCTCTCCTGCTTTGAGCATGTCTTGGTTTTATTGGGTTTCAGTGAAATGCTGATGATGCCCAGCACTCAGTTGTGCTCCTGATGATTTGCTAATGAGCCTGCAGCAGCCTAAGGGCACTTTGGATTACTTTGTCCAGTGATCTGAAGCCTGCAGAGAGAAGTGGAACATGTAGCACCCTGTCATGGGAATGTGTAAAAGCTTATGTACTTTGAAATGGACTCTGGCTATGGCTCTGAGCCATACACACCCTTGTAGTCATCACTGGCCATATTTTCATGACATTCTGTGCCTGTGTCCCCAGCAAGCTGCTGCTGGTGTCAGTTTTATGTGCGGGTAGGCAGGTGTCAGTTCTGTTTAGTGTGTTTCTTGTTCTCTCTGCTCTTCTGCCCCTCTGCTCTTCCACTTTTTTCTGTGGATTTTAGGCTACTGAAAGTCAAAGTGGTGTTGGAGCTCACCACTACAAATAATCAGACTTCCTTGCCTAAGCAAAAATTCCTCAGATGCTGAATTCTGTGGTATTGGACAACAAACTTTGTATGTTACTGAGACATTTAATTGTACTTTAAGAACATGCTTTTATAGTTATGCGTATTTCTTTGATGCCCAGGATGCCTTGGATTTTGAGTGGAGCTATTGGATTGAATGGGGAAGAGAATACATACTGTGGCTTCTGGCTGGTCATCTGCTGGTATCACAAATGTGCAGGCTATTCATGGACAAGGTATGCATGGGTTTACTTCACAGCAAATTTGTGTGTTCTAACTAGCTATGGGAATAGAAAGTTTAATCAGCTGTGGGAATGGAAGGGGTGAAATGTAGACCTGGCACTCTACTATCATAGAATCATTGAATGGCCTGGGTTGAAAAGGACTTCAATGGTCATCTAGTTTCAAGCCCTTGCTATGCGCAGGATCGCCAACCACCAGACCAGGCTGCCCAGAGCCACGTCCAGCCTGGCCTTGAATGCCTCCAGGGATGGGGCATCCACAACCTCTTTGGGTAACCTGTTCCAATGTGTCACCACACTGTGTGGAAAAACTTCCTCCTAATATCCAACCTAAACCTCCCCTGTCTCTGTTTAAAACCATTCCCCCTTGTCCTATCACTATCCACCCTTGTAAACAGCCGTTCCCCCTCCTGTTTATATGCTCCCTTCAAGTACTGGAAGGCCAAGATGAGGTCTTCCCAGAGCCTTCTCTTCTCCAAGCTAAACAAGCCCAGTTCCTTCAACCTTTCCTCATAGGAGAGGTGCTCCAGCCTTCTGATCATCTTAGTGGCCCTACTGTGTATAGGACAGTACTGTTACTATGTTTTGCTTTAGAAATAAAGTATTAAAATTGTTTGTGGTCTTTTTTTTTTTTTTTTTTCCCTAACAGTATAAACCATGGTGCTTGATGATGTATGGAATGGCTGCCTGCTGGTTTTTATTAGGAATGAAGGGCTTTGCGGTCATTTTGTTACACGCAGCTATTTCGTTTGCTGTGGCTCAGTTTCAGATACCGCTCCTGACGTGGCTGTGCTCACTTATCCTGTTATCTACTTTACGCATACCAGCAGTGGAAGAAGTCAAGGTAATATCAGATGTATGAATTAAGCATCAAGTCAAGTACAGTCTTATTTGCTGTTATGGTAGCTATCTTCTTGACCAACTACCCTCTCTTTACTTGATCTAAGCAGACTGGCTTGAAAACCTGTAGGAAGTAGAGATGTAGTGAGCCATGCTAGAGCTCTTATCATTAGAAACGTGGATAGGCCCATACGCTTGGTGAATTCTTACTAGTGGGCCACTTACGGTTTCATTTGGGTATTTGTCAAAGCATAAACTGAAAGTTAGCTCACTACAATAATACATAATGTGATTCATAATGGTGGTATACGTGACTGAAGCCACTTAGAAGAGAGAATGTCTTTCTCAGTTATTGGGCTTTGATAGTCTTTTGGTTGCCAGCTGATGTGATCAGGTTATATTCAGTATACTGTACACTCTAGCCTGCTGTACATGCTTCTTTTAAAGCTTTGGCTATATTTATTTGAAGCTACCATCTGTAGCTCCTGCATTCGTTCTTGCCTTTGTTCCTTCCTTTTCCTTTCTTCTGTGTTGTTGCTGGTGATCCTGCAGGGCTCTCAAACAGCAGATGAGAGGAGTGAAATTGGTGATGGTCTGATGCTTCAGGAGCACCTATGGGGTCTTTCTGAGAGATGATTGTTACCTCTGTAAAGATAAAAGCCAAGGTTGCTTTGTTTGCTTTTGTCTGGGAAACTGAAGAAACAAGCAAGGGCAGAAGGTGGTTCTGAGAGACTACTTTAGATAAGGCCCAGCCTTCTGGAGTTCTGTGTGGTCAGCTCCACAACGCAGCTCTTCTTCTCTATCTGAGACCTGGCTGCATTCTTACTCTAAATAATGCCAAATGAACAGAAGGACTCTGCAGGGTAATGTGATGGTCTCTTACTGTGTAAGGGAATGTTCGAACTCTAACAAGACAACCGCCATAGTGCTGCTTATTTTAACTTCTGTTCATTTTTATCGATCTCCACGTTTGTTTTTGGGTTGCTCTGTTTTCCTTTGCTATCTTTCTTGTCCTACAGGAACAGTTTTTCTTTATTTTTTTCTCCTTCTCACCTTCCTACCCTATGTATTGCCTTCATTCTGTCAGTGGAGCCATGTACAGTGTAGTGACTCTTGGAAGAACAATCTCTAAATTCAGTTTGTGTGGGAGCAAACTGGCCAGTTCTGACTGTGGCTGTTCATTCTTCTGCTCATGAAGAGAATCACTGCTCCTGTGCTGCAATCTGCCTTTCTCTGACCAGCAAATAGAAACTAAAACAGCTTCCTTATGATATGTCCTACTTCTTGGGAAGGACAGTAGAGGAATTTGTGCAAAGCTAATAGTCCCCAGGAAGACATGGGAAAAACTTAGTAAAGCAGCAGAACGTTTGGTTTGCACTACAAATGCAACCCATTAAAGCTAAAGCTCTCTGCATTGTGAAAGTTTTCAGTAAAACCTGTCTGCAGCGTGTAAGAAAAAATGGACCTCAAGAGGATGACAAAGAAGTCTGTCATTGCATGAGGAAAAACATCCAGTCATTGTGATAATGTAATATTGATAGCTTGACTGACTGTTGCCTACGGTCACTGTAGTATAAATGCTAAGTCATGGCTTGAAGCAGTGATTGAGCAGCTGGTGGTAAGGCATGGCCAACTCAGGGGAGCTTAGGTGCATGCAATGTACCTGAGTGATTGCACCTCGTGGAGCCAGGATCCATCTCTTCCCAGGCCTCACTTAATGGTTGGCAGAGGGGGCAAGGGTATCCTGCTGGGGATCCCTGTATGCCTGAGGCCTTCTGAAGGTAAGCAGCTTTTTTCCTTTATTTCAGCACCCACTTCTGTTGTGTTTGAACAGTTCCGCATTTGTTGGAGCCTGGGATCTTGCTGCTCTGCTGTCATTGTTGTGCTTTTCATCATGTTACAGTCATGCGTAGAGCTGCGTCCTGTGGTTTGAAGGAAAAAAAAAAAAAAAAAAACAACCAGAAAAACTCACCAGGTTTATGCAGCATGTCAAGTCAGTAATACACGTCCAGATTAAAATAAGTTCTTAGAAACTGGAATTGGGAGGTTGCATCTGTATCTGTGAATATATTTTCTAAGCACAAATGTACAGTAGCAACTTGCTGTGAAGCTGGCAGCAGGAAGAGAAAACAGCTTTTTCTAAACCTGGTGATCCATGCTACAGAGAAATAACCACACGGTTTTGGCTATAAGGATTCTTCTAGGAAGCTGATAAACAAGTCTTGCTTGTTTATTTGTGTTAGCCTTTTTGGCTACTGTGAGCATTTCCATCTATTGCCCAGAAATTGGCAACATCCTGGTTTGTTGATGGAATTTGTTTCTTTTTCCTATTGATGAACTTCTGACCTCTTAATGTTTTTTGTGTGGGAAACTTTAAATTTCTAAGGCACTTTTGAGAGTGGGGCATCAACGTAGTCTTCTCTATTTTACCCATTTAGAATGGCATTGTACATGCTATCCTTCTGATAAATCATCTGGAAAATCCATGGAGTTTTTGTCTTCCTATTGGTCTTCCCATTAGGAAATGAAATCTGAAAATCTACCTAACCCTAGTGTTAGGGTTTGGATTTGAGATCAGAATTTCTAATGCTTCTTGAAATGTGGTTTGGCCTCACCACACTTAATTGTAGTTTATGGGTAACAGAGGACTTTTCATTATGCCAGTCAGTGCATTGAGATGAAATTGTGTACATTAACGTGGGAGTGTTGTTTGGTGGAGACAGAGTATGATAAATACCTTGCTCAGTCCTCTAGTGAATGTATTTCTCCTTTGTTAGAGATATAATCATAGTGATTTCAAGTGCTGTTCCTTGGATTCATACCTGGGAGTCACTCAGTAAAGCCTATTAGGATCTCACTGGTAGCGTGGACATGAAAAGTATTTCTCAAACAATTTCATTTATACTAAATGAGTTGCTTGCTTGCTCACAGATGATTGATGCAAGCTCAGTTTTGCTGTTTTGCTAATGCTTCTGGTTGGGTAATAAAGAAGTTAGAGAAACTGCTTTGTAGTTATGAGGAAATGTGCTTGTTGTATTTATTTGGACTGAGAGGGAAAGAAAAACCAGGATTATTCTATTAGACCTGTTCTAATTTTGATCAGCAGCTCTGTCAGCAGCCAGCATTCACTCTTCAATCGTTAGTGTCATTTGCTTCCAATATTCGTGCTGGTCTCTGTTAGCTTTAGGTCCTTTCTGCTGTTGGTGACCTGGAAAGTCAAGGTCTTGATTGATATAATTATCCTGCAATTTATGAATCACAGCACTGTACTGTTATTCTCTGACCTTGTTTTGTCTTGCAGAGAAGGTGGTATGACACTGAAAATGAGTATTATCTGCTTCTCTTCACGGTGTCTGTTCGTTGCCTCTTCAACACAAGTTTCAGCCTGGAATACTGCTGGCATGGACATGCCCAGAAATCATCTCATTCGTTCCTGTGGATGCTGGCATATGTGTTTTACTATCCCATGTTCCACAACGGACCCCTTATGAACTTTGATGAATTTAGTAAGCAGGTAACAGTATTTTATTTTTTTTTTTTTAAGACTGTGGAACTATAAACTTCTAGTATATGTATGCAGATGTGAATCATGTTTGACTAAGAAACATTGGAAAAAAAGGGTGGTCTCTCTTCAGCTGCCAAATCTACCTTTTATTAGAAATAAATTCAATGCGATAGGTTAATTTTGTTGCTTCACGTTTTGTAAGACTTTAATATTGGTTATGAGAAAATCTTAATAAGACAATTCTTTCACCAATTTTCCATGAGGCTGTTTTTGTAATGTATTTCAAAATGTATGTTGTAAGTGAGCTAAATTTATTTTCTGGATTGTCAAAAATGGGCATTAGAGACATCGACTCTTTCAAAGTCTAGTGTTAGTGTATATTCATCCCTTTCTTGACAAATATTGAAGTAAACTGCATTTAGATTGGTGATTTTGGACAGCTCTCTTTTGCATTAGATGTACTTAGAAACCTATGGAAACTGTGCTAGTCCGACTTTTCTGTTTCCTGCCAGTAAAGGTACAACTTAAAGAAATGCTTCAGTGTCAAGCATAGTCTCACGTTGGTTGCTGAATACACACTTGATATTGATATGCAGTTGTGAAGCATATAGTGTCTCTCAAATTCAGATGAAGACAAGTGATGAGATAGCTTTCGTTATTCCTGCAGCATGTGGGACCTTAAGTCAACTGAATTTCAGTTGCTGCAGAGCTGCTGTTGTGCTGACTGAGCACACAGCACTTTGTGATCACAACCTGAGGAGCGTTGGGAACTTTCACCATGAGCCTGTACTTTTGGGGAGCTACAAAAAAGGTGCCCTTGCAGCTGAGTCAGCCTGAAAGGTTCAGCTCTGTGCAGCTTCTGTTGCAACAGGGAACATCTGATTCCTTCACTAAAAGCCTTTAATCTTTTCTGAATCATACAAGTGAAATAGGAGAGGCAAGGTAGGTCCCTAAATAGACACTGATGTTCTGAAGCTGACTAATACATTTGCATACTTATTTTCCATTACATTTAATAGTAGGCAGGTGTCCAAATATTCTCTGTGGCTTTGAATATCTCAGCATGAGTTCCTAAATGTATCTGGAGCCTGCATGCTGTCGAATAGAAACCAGAGGTGTTGAGATGGTCTGAGCTGTGACTGGCGGAAGTGTTATACAAATTAAAGGGGCAGAGTCAGAGGATCTTTCACCACTTTGCTTCAAAGTTGGTTTCTTCAAGTGCTTACTGACAATGAGATGTCATTAAGAGAGATGAGTCAGATAAGCAAAAGCATCTGCAAGACTGACAGAAGTGGGTAATAAGCAATTTTTTAGGCTTCGCTGAGAACAAGCCAATCATCTGTGCAACTTTAAAGCCCTTTTCAGGAAAAGACTGCAAGGGGAATTAAAAACCTTCAAATGAGTAGAATTATTCTTTCACTAGACTTACCAATGTAGATGCTGAGGAAGTTTTCTTCATGTTGTTTTATAGTTTCTAAATTGTATTAAATTCCACCTATGTTCCTATGCTGCTAGCAGAGAAATAAATTTTCAAGGAATGTTTCAGAAGACGTATACAGGATTCTGAGTAGAGGGCAGCTTGGGAAAAGTTGTGCATAGGGTCTTGAAATGGATCTTAGTTCACCTGATATGGCTCAGTACAGACCTGTGAAAAGCCTGTGTATATTCTTGGTTTGAGACAGTGGGAAGAGAAAATTGAACTTGGGGAATGGAATGCCTGTATCTATGTTACGTTCTCATTTAAATATACGGAGACCTTGTTTTGTTAAAGCCTTGATGAAGATGGAACATACTGGAAAAAATGTAACTTGTTTCTTGGTGTTCGCTGCAGTGCATTTTCAAAGGTCTTACCTGAGAAGAGTCATGTCGTCACCTTGATATCTGAGGTTAGAGACAGATTCTGAAGTTAGCAGATCTCAGCAGTTTGTTCAAAGTGCACAATACCAGAAGTGTGTTTATTGCAGATATCAGAACAGGAGATTGGGAACTGTAGAAGCACTTAACTGAGGCTGAGACTGAGAAGAGGGTTTCTGCTCAGCATGCTGGAAAGTAGACTTATTGAAAAAGGAAGCGGAGAAGCTGTTACATGAATGAAAGAGATCAATAATGCTGGTAATTTGCATCCGTTGCCAGGCAGGAATGAGAAGTTGTTGTATTTCACTGATGGCCTGAGTAGAAATAGAGCATAGTAGTTTTAGTTGAGAGTTTTAAGGTGTATTGTGCAAATGCCTGTGATTTAATGGTTGGCTCCGAAATGTCGTGTATTTAGTAAAAATTCAGCTACACAATTAGTGTGTTTGTTCACTTCCAAGTGATCAGAGCCAACTGCATGTTAGGTATATTGTGCAGACAAGATGACTGGAATTCTAGGAAGGATGTTGTGTGTGTGGGTGAGTGGGTTGCTTGTTTATGTATATTTTTGGTGTCTGGTTAAAAACTGAAGAATGAAACTTGGTATACATTCAGTGACATGTTAAAAAAAAAATGTTATAGGCAATCTTTCCACTAAGTTACTTGATCAAATTCTCTTTCACTGCAGAAAAAAGGGGTAATAAAATAGTATAGAATTTGTTTACTACAGTTAGTGATGTAAGAATCTGATGGTGCATCTTGAGGAGCCTGTCAGCTGTGATCCTTGTCTTGTCTCATTTTTACCTTGCACCTAACTGGCATTTGCTCAGTACATCTCATTGGCCTCACTGACCTTGACAATGCTACAGGAGAAAATGAAGAACTGCTCTCAGGTAATGAATCCAATGCAGCTGGCAGAAGTTTGAGATATTTTTAAGAGCAAGCTGTTATCTTTTCTGTGTTAGGTAGGATTACTGCCTGGAAAATCCTACTCTCCTTCACAACTGTAGTATCTTTAAGCTTTTATTTCATGATCTACAGCTATCAGTGAAGTACCAGAATTAAGAAGTGTATGTCTCTTCTTGATTCTGTTGAGTTTAATAGCATTTGGCTGTTTCTGCAACCTATTGGTTCTGTAGGATTTGAAAATGATTAATTTATTCACAGGACTAAATGTTGTTTGATACGGTGCACTCTCATGACTGGTTGTTGGGATTGGACCTGCCTGCTTTGTAGGCTGCTTGAATAGTTTGAAAAAGGTGCTTCTTCTAATACTCTGGGAGATGGAGTTGCTGCTTCTGGGCTTGCAGAGAGCTTGTGTACCAGGATTGTGATGCCTGAGGAAACGAAGCACTCTGTCTGCATGAGATGTGTTATTCATAATCATATAATTCTGGAAGTACAGTGGCATTGCCAATTCAAGGCATTTCAGTTTTATGAGGTTTTTACAAGAATCTGAAGGGGAGGGGTTTTCTCTGAAAACTTAACAATGTAACAGGAATAAGCTGAGGATACCAGCTTTCTGTTTGTGTTCTTTGAGTAATTCCCATAACGTTGGGAAACTTCCACAGAATCTGTGAGGGGAAAAAGTAATCCAACAATTACAGAGTGAAAGCTCCATGTTTTCTTGTAATCCTCTTGTGCAAATAGGCAGGCAGTGTGTAATTTATATCTTCTTCCAAGCCTTCTGTTTTGCTCCAGTATGGCTCTTTCTTTCCATGTTTTGTGCCTCTGTGTGAACAGCCCTCGTACAAGTGCCCTTAGAGGACATGCAGGGGGGGAATAAAAAGTAAGAACAGTTTTCATTGTTCTATGTTTTGTGTGTTTGTTGCTGTGTTTCCCATGCTTGTAAATGTGCATAAGTGTATGCTCCTTTCTGGTAGCTATTTTGTTTTTTTTTTTTTCTGAATTAGACACTTAGGAACTTGTTTGTATGGTTAGTCAGCTTTTAATAAACTCCTCTCAAGTCTGACCACTTTCCAGAAATAAATTGGCTGTTAACAAGGCAGTGCTTCCTTAGGCCATCTTGAAAGTGATGACATTGTGAGTAATGGCCCTTAGGCCTCATGGCGCTTATTTGGCAGCAGCTGGTGACTGGGATGTAACCTCTGAAGGGACAGTGCAGGGAAGAGAGTGTGACATCTTTTTGCATTATGGTGTATTCTGAGAGATGCCTGTGGGGGTCAAACCACTTAAAATGTCCATTTGGAATAAATGCAAATGGAAGCAGATGCAAAGATTATACATCTGAAGTCCTGGGCAGTATGGATTAGCAAAGCAGTCCAGCGACCTTATGGAACCTGTAAAGTGTGAGGCAAAAGTAGTCTGGATCCCCCTATCTTAGCGTGCCTAACATTGCACTGTACTACCAGATAACATTGCATTCCCATGTGGTTCAACTGCACAAATAGTTTTGCAATGCAGAGAGAATGGAAATATCATCTGGAGCAATGGAAGATGTTTGTATGTGCATGGAACTGAATATCTGTAAGTACTGCAGCTAGTCTTGTGGTGTTGATGAGAGACTTGTTTTGCTTGGCTTACCACTCTGTTTTCTACTTGCTTATTTCTACTTAGTGAATTTGAGAAAGGAGAAACCAGACTATGTCAAAAAAAAGTGTATCAGGAATTTTCAAATAGTGTAGACAGATGACCTCCCCTTAAATAGTAATGAATAGCAAATGAAATCTTTATATTAAAAAAAAAAAGTTATTGAGATGAGTAAAACAGTCAGTTGTGTGTCATATAACTTCTTTGGGTTTCTTCATTTAGATGAGAAAACAAGAAGCCTTCAGTTTGAAGACCAATCTTGGCATCTTAACCATGGGCATAATTCGTATTTTCTTTTGGTGGTGCTTGGCTGAGCTCATGATTCACTTCATGTATATCCATGCTATCTGCAGCACTTCTTCGCCTTTGGAAGCTATGTCATACTGGGCCTTAGGTGAGTATATTTAAAAAAAAATGAAGAAATCATCCGTGTGTTCCCACTTTCAAGAATACTAGCCTATTTTATGTCCATTAGTTCTTATGAATAGTACGCTGTAGCTGTTCACAGTCAGGAAGATGACAGACTATTTTAATGCAGACTATTATGATAACATGTGAGAAGACAGGCTGAGGGAGCTGAGCTTGTTGAGCCTGGAGATGAGAAGGCTCTGGGGAGGCCTCACTGCAACCTTCCAGTACTTAAAGGGAGCTTGTAAACAGAAGGGAGACCAATTTTTTATGGGCAGATAGTGATAGAGCAAGGGGAGATGGTTTTAAAATAAAACAAAGGAGATTTAGGTTAGATTTTGGGAGGAAATACTTTACTCAGAGAGTGATGTAGCACTGGAGCAGGTTGCCCAGAGTAGTTCTAGATGTCTTAACCATGTTTAAGGCCTTTCTGCTACCTCTCAGTCTACTGGTGCTTGGTTAAAATGTGAAGTGAGGGCAGAAATGAGCACTTAAGAATGTAACATAAAATGGTAATAGTTTGCATATGGATATGTAAATAGAAATAGGCAACCTGTAAGCCACTTGTATGCATGGTTTGTATAATTCCTTTGTGCTCCTACATATATCACCAAGTAGGAGGAATGGAAGCAAGAAACCCCAAGCCTTAAAAATGGATTTTGAAAAATCCCTGATTTTTAGAGTTGAAAGAGATGCCTCTTACTATATTGGCAAGCATCAGGAATCAATATCACATACTAATACAGCCCTGTCACGCACTTACTGAAGTTTGCTTATGAGCTGTGTTGAAGACCTCTGCATACTAGGCTCTGGCCAGTAGAGGGCAATGTGTGCTATCTCACTGTATGTGCATACATACATATAAACATACATCTTGTATGTACATATATACTATATATATAAATAAGGAGAGGGCAGACAGAGCAGCGAGTTATTTGCTTCTCAGCTTTGTTCCATGCGTCCCTACTCACTAACTGTTTAGAAAGTGGATTCTGAGTTTGCATCTCCTGTTTCAAATAGGAATTTATAGTTGAATTAAATTAGCTTGTTTGCAGAATTGTCTGTATGTGTGGGGAAAAAAAAAAAAAAAGCTGTGTGGTGTTACTGAGCATACAGGACCTGATAAATGCTGACCAGTTGACAAGGCAGGAAAGTCTACAGATGTATGGACAAGATATTCTAGGTTTGATGTTATTGGCGGATTCCTGCCTCCTATGAAGGATTCTAACTGTTGATTTAAGTGACAATAAGGGTTACTTTCCAGAAAATAGTGAGGTGTACTTGTTGTACGGAGCTGTTGGATTATGGCCTGAACCACTGATTGATCACCTGAGGCAAGGACTGAGTCAGCCCTGGGAGCACAGGTGAAGGCAATTCAACTGTGTGATCAGAAGGGGTGGAGCCTGGCTGCACCCTTTTTAAACCTCATTTAAGAGCTGACTGTGACTGGGAAAGGGTCTCTTTCTGGAGATCCTTCCTTGGTGAAGCTTTCCCCTGTGAATCTAGAATCTTCTGATACAGGTGAGCAACCTTCTTCTCTTACTTTACGGTACCTCTCTATTGTGCCAGTCCTCCTTCAGTCATCACAGCTCTATTGTAATGCCTTTCCCATTGTTTTGACCTATCCAATTACTACACTTGTTTAATGGAGTTGAGTGTTAGATTATAAGAATTTAGGCTGTTTTTTTGAGAAGGTGATAAGAAAATACTTTTAAAGCTATTTTGGGCAACAAAAGCCTGATTTAAAGCAAGTTTGGACTGTAAAACTACCAGAACAAGGTGCAGTCATTTGAATTAAGTTCCCTTAGGAGACCCTGCTTTTAGGAGAGGTGTGTTCAGAGAGCAACTCCACTCTTGTTAAGCTTTGTCTTAATATTGAACACAGGTGCTTAAATTTGGTAATTCAGAAAAGATTGTGGTGAGATTTATCTGCAGAGATATATCACAGTTTGTATGGTAACTGTTAAGTCGTGGCCTGAACCAGTGATTGAGCACCTGGGGAAAGGACCCATCAGCCCTGGGAGCACAGGTGAAGGCAATTTGTCTGTGCAACCAGAAGGGGTGGAGTCTGGCTGCACCTCTCTTAGGCCTCATTTAAGGACTGACTGCTACTGGGGAAGGATCTCTGGTTGGAGATTCCCTCCCTTGTGGAGCTTCCCTGTGAACCTAGATCTTTAGAGATGGATGTGCACTTTTTCTTTGTAATGCCTGTGTATTGTGCTAGTCCCTTTATCATTACACCTCCTGTATCACTACTCCATTGTGTTGATCTCTGTGATTCTTACACGCTTTAAAGTGCTTTCTCTACAAGTTTCATCCCAGTAATTATACAGAGGCAGATTATACAGAGACAAGTCAGTGAGCAGCCACCACTGAGACTTGATTTAGGGAGACTCTAGTATGTGTAAGGGTACCTGTAATATTTTCTTCTATTGACTCTTGGGTCCTTATGGATCTTAGCATGCTTTTACACCAGTTCTTGTATAGAGCTAAATCCGTTACTTTTTATTTGGGGTTATTAAAACCAATTACATCAGATAATGGAGTCAAGAGACCAAGAAGCTTCTTGTTGACTCAAGAGTATTAACTGTGTGGTATATTAGCCTTCTGCACTGCTGTTTTTCATTTTGTTTCCCATTTAACCCACAGCGGCTTCAAAGCAGCATGAAACATATACTTCCATCAAATGATATATGGCTGCCCCTTGTGGCATGCTAAACTTAGGGGAAAGGCTGTTATGCTGTCTTGTAATCAACTCCAATTAGGGAAATTATAATTGCTCCCCAGCTTTTCTTCTGGGATATCTTTGAATTAGAAGCATTAAACACCAGCAGTGCAGGTAAAGACAGCAGTGCTAAGTGATTTTGCTCAAGAGATCTTAAGGGCATTGATGATGGCCAGAATACTCCTCACAGAAGCATAAAACAACAGTGTTCTTGTGAAATGAGACTGCGAATAGATAAAACCAGACTGAGTCACAATGCTTGTTTGAAAATGTCAGCCTTCGGTATTAATGTACTTAGCCACAAAAGGTAAGACATGTGAAGTTATCTCAGGAGGTATAACTGGGTGTATTTTCTTCATGCATATATACACTTAAAAACATGTATTTAATATGGGGGCAATATGTTAACAGTCAGCAAGAGAAATGTTCTGTGTGGTAGGAGTTAGCCAAAAGTTTCTGGAAGCAACAATATACAAAACAGTTACATGTATGTTTTTAATGCCTGCAGCTAAACCAAAGATCTCCTTATGTCAAATGTTTGAATTCTTCTTTTCTCTATGCTGTTTACAGGTCAGTACCTGCACTACTGTAAAAGTACTTTTGCTGAGATATTAAATTCTCATTCCATCAGATGCATTTGCAAATACGTAGTTCTGGGTATTCTCCTATTCTTCTGAATGTGAATAAGTCAAAGTCAACACAGTTTTTTCTGTTACATAGGAACCCACCTTCTGTCCCAAGTCACTCGGCTGGGTTACGTATTCCTTGTGACACTTAATATCTTAAAGGATCAGGGAGTATTGTAGCCTTGCTTCACCCTCTGGGTTTTTTTCTTCACGTTCTCCAGTCTCTTTACTTAGTATGGACCTATCTTTTCTTATTTATATGGTGGTCCTTATATATTTCACTCTGCTTTTTCTTATTGTGAGGATGAAGAGTCTCTGGAACTGAGAAAGTCTCTCACCAAGCAGGAAATGCATTCACACAGTGTACAGATGGCTTGTGAAATTAATTACCATGAGACAGCAGGGAGACTAAGGTGGTGTTTTCAGAAAGTAGCCTAATATTACTAGTTTAGGGCTACTGAAAGGATCACTTCTCTGGACTTCCCACCTTCAAAATCCCTCTGAACAGGCCTTCCCTTTATTGTATTGCTTGCTGCTGCAGTTTTGCAAACTTGCTGAAGGTGTTCTCTGTCATGCCATCTGGGTTGCTAATGAAGATTCTGGGGGTTAGTGGTCTCAGTGTGGTGTCTGAGGGATGCTGCCAGTTACTGGCTGCCAACTGTACTTTTCACCACTGATTGTTGCTATGCTTTAAGCCTGGTAGTCCCAACCAAATTTTCTTCTCTATTTATCCACTTATCCAAATTATATCTCACCTCTTTGGTGATAGGGAAGCTGTAGGAGAATGTGTGGAAGTTCTCACTGAAGTCAAGATACACAACATCCATGCTCCTTCCTCTATGTCTAAAGCACCAGTTGGTTCATACTGAATAGAGTACTGTTGGTCAGGCACCTTGATAAATATGTTGTTCCCATTCACTTTCCTGTCCCTAATGCATTTAGAGAGAGCTTCTAAGACAGTTTGTACTGCAAGTTTTCCCGGAATTGAAGAGATTATGATCAGTCTAATTTACTGGGTGGATGAAGCATTTCCCTTAGAAAAGAATGTGACGTGTCTTTCTGAGATGTTACCATACCATGGATGTCATTATTTATGTTCTTCCACCAGACGGTATAAAATCTATTGTTTTATAATTCAGTTTTTTCCATCTTGAATTTTTTTCTTGCTGGATTTGTCAGCAATACTTTAAAAAAAAAAAAAAAAAAGTGGCTTGAGGTTGCATATATCTTTTCCACTGACTACAAGTAGAACAGAAAGCTATTGGGGATCTATCTTTCCAGGCTATGTCCTTTGCTCAGTACTGCACCTCCCATATGGCACATAGATGTCAGTATTTCTTTTATCACTTATTCCTGCTATTTAAATTTTATTTCCTTTCATGTTTTCCATATGCTACTTTTTACTTGTTTGTTTATATCACAGTGATGCATGGGCTTTGTTGGTCATAATGTAGGAAGAATTCAGTTCAGTCTTTGATATCAAAACAGATGGAGTTGCCTCTGATTATTTTCAATGCAGCAGAACAGCGAGAAGAGAGCAGTGTCAGAGATGGTAAAAACAATTCTCTGTTATTGTTTTTGATATGGCCTTTCAGAATACTGCTCATGTCCAGACTGACTGAGATGTTTTCAGGT